AAAAAATAATTTTTAACGATACAATAGTCTTCGTTAGGCTTAACATCGACGAAAATTCAACGCGAAGCGACACGCAACGGAGAAAAATTTCAACACGGGATAAATTAATATATTTTTTCGTACATAATTGGTTATCCGAAAAATAAGTTATCCGAACAACCCCAGTCCCCAATTGATTCGGATAAACGACGCTCTACTGTAAATATAAACAAACAACACTAACTCGATAACATTAAATCTAAATAACAAAATGATTAATTTACTGTGTTTTTGTTATTTACTACTCCTGTTTTTAGGTATTCGGTCGAATAGTGATTAAATATTCGGTATTCGGCCGAATAGTGAAAAATAGGCCGAATAGGCCGAATACCGAATAGTAACCGAATATTCGTTACATCACTAATTAATATGAATTGCTAGGAGAACAGTAGGTTGTTTGCTTTGTTGAAAATCATATGAACAATTTTCATGGTCAAGGTCAAAGTTGTATAATTTACAGAGTTAAGGATTAATAGGCAATCAAAATCTCTAAATTATAATATTTTGAATTAATGTACTAAATAAAGTTAAATAAAATTGAATTTATTTACAAACACAAATTAATTTCTAAATAATTTTCAAACCAAACAAAATGAGAAGGAGATGGTATTCGTCATTTAAGTGTGGAGCAGTATATCAGAATTTAACCACTCTGATAACAAAACAATGCTAAAAGAAATCTGTTATTTTTTTCTGTTGAAGATTGTTTTAAAAAAATAGAAAATATATTTTTGGTGCCAAAAGAGTAAAAAAAGAAGTCAAACCTGGCATCACTGTATGCATCCCCAATATGCAAACTAGCATGTGTTTGCATGGGACCACATCCATTTAAAGAGGTGGGCATCCTTAAAATTTAACCCCTATTTTCTGAGTATAGTAAAATTGTCCACTAAAACCAGACGTTTGAATTGTTCTACAGTCAGACGTTGAGCTCATCTTTGTTTACTAGGGAAAATTATTCTATTCAATATAGAACATTTATTACAATATCACTTTGCTTTTTATACTTTTCAACACGAATAATAAAATTATTATTGGAAATAGAGTTATTTTTTGGATTGTGAAGGTAATTTACAGTTCACTTTAACAAATTTTGGAAAAATTTTTGTTTACTTTATTGCTTAAAAATTAATGTTGTGACAATGGCATTTTGTCAGGGTAATTGCAAAATTTGCTTTATCAGTATTCATTTTAAGGTGAGTTCATTATATGCCTTTCATAAAGCTCAAGACGTAATACTGATTCCTTAACATCTCAGAAATGATGAGAAATACTGTCTATTGATGAATTACTGCTTATGATATTTCAATATTTGAAGAACATGTATAAAAAATTTCTATAGCAAATGAAAAAATAATTTTATTGAATCTCTAAGCTGGAACTATCTTATAATAAAGAAAATTCACACTTTTCTCACACTTTCCAGTAGTAATTGTTTAATAAACAATTACTACAAAAGAACGAATTTCCAGTAGTAATTGTTTAATAAACAATTACTACTGGAAATTCGTTCTTTTAAAATTTACAAGGCAACTACATTCTATTTATAGAACGGCTTTTTCAGTTTGTATTTTCTGAGGAAAGCCAATAAATTTAGTGGCCGAAAACGTTTGATCTTTATATTTTTTTACTTTTATTTGCTGGAAAGTTTGAATTTAAGTTGATTTGCAAATATACGGTTCCAGTTTATGGTGAGGTTGTATTTATTTAATAAACAAATGTTTTCAGCTACATTCTTAGGCCTACTTTCGATTTCATATAAGCTTAACCTGATGCATGCTATAAATGTGGCCGAAAACATTTGTTTGTTAAACAGTTACTGCTGAAAAGTATGAGAAAGGTGTGAATTTTTCTTTAAAATAATAATGTTTTGGAAGACATAACAGGCCAATTTGAGACTAATAAAAAAAAATTTTATTGAACAGTATTATACCAGCAGATGAGCCTGGCATTGCCTGGGCAAAAAAACAACAAAGATTAAGATTATTAGATTATTTTGTACTTCTAATCCTTCTATTCTAGTAGTCCTGGACACCCCTAGTGGGTGTTCTAGCAGTAGTAGTGTCATTTCATGGTATAAATAATAAATTCCTATTACAAATAAAAATAATAATATACTGAATTTATCATGGCATATCCTACTAAAATGCAGCCAAAAATGCAAAAATCTGCATCAAATAATAATATACTGAATTTATTGTTAATTTAAATAATAACTAGGGATGCCCCTAGTGACCATTTTTGGCATACAGAAAGAATCTGGTTTTTCAACTTTATATAGTAGATTTTCCAACTATTGCCTGATACTTCCACAATTTACATATGGATCTCATTCCTCTAACCTTTCACCTTTTCAAATACATCCAATGAAGACAATAATTTGAAAATTATAGTAAAAGGACAAAGACAGCATCTATATGGATTTGTATCAATTAAATACATTTTCTTTTTGTGGGATCATTGCATTGAATTATAAAAAACAAAAATAATGCCGATAAAGAATTTTTTTCCCCTCTAATTTATATACACAGAATATCTATACATGCAAGTTTAATGCATATATAGAAATTTAAAAATTGCAGAGATGTTTGAAGTTTTTCTACATTTTGAAAAAGTGATTATTTATCTCATCTTTATTATCTAGTACTATAAAAATAATTAGTTACCATATAAATTCTCGGCAATGAGAACAAAATGTTGGCTGTCGCAAAATCGTAGCCATAAATTTATGACTATTGACCTGATGAACACGACGACGCATTGCACCCCTTCGTCGGTTGAGACCTTGCCTTTCTTTAAAAACTTTAGGCTTCTGAGATGCATTTTCTATAAGTACATAAAAATATCAAGAAATACTATAAAATAAGTTTATAAGTATAATTATTTTTGTTTAAAATGGTATAATCATTATGACTAATTTTAAACTTTTCCAAATAGAACCTTAACATTAATAATGAAACATTAAACATTTATAAACTATTTTCCACATGAATTATGTTTAAAAGGTTTTATGAAACATATATGTACAGGTACATTAGATACAAGTATACATAAAATGCATCACAATACAAATTTAAATTTAAATAATGAATTACGTTCATCATTTTGAAATATTTAAAATTTTATGATTATAAATCAACTAAAACATTTTTGAGAATGATATAAGTAAATTTTTTCATATATAAATGAAAGTTGGGTTTTGCATAAAACGTTTTTGATATAATTCTTGTTAAACTGAATTATTAGAATGTTATATTTAATGTTTACAAATTAATTCTATATTATTACACAAGATATACTTACTGCAAGTTTTAAAACTAAATCCCTTATTACAGTCCATTTTTATTATTATTTTCAACATACTTTAGTAGTAACAAATACACCTTTAAAATTCCAGCAACTCAAATTTATTTAAAACAAATGTTTTCACCATGTTTAAAGGCCTTTCTCAGATTGTTCTTAATCAAACATTGACATAATAAATCTTCAGGAAGACATTTAAAACATGGTCAAAACATTTGTTCCAAATAAATTTCAGTTGCTGGACTATCAAAGGAGTTTTTTGTTATTGTCATTATACAGTGTGATTGTGAAGTTCCTTTGTAGTGGCCCACGCCCATGCAGCATAGTCAAGTGGTGTCATAACTCACTTTAACTCTTTCAACATGTAATCTGCCTGTGATGTCATTACTTTGTTCTTGGAAGCTCCTCCTGTTTCTCATCCATTGTGGAAAAACTTTATAATTATACTGTAAATCCAGTTGAGTTTCCTACACATTAATATGTTTTGCATGTTCTTATTATTAGTCAGTTTACCAATACATAAATAAATAAAAAGAATGAAATTTTTAAATTCCTTAAATACATGTTTATTATGTGAATACTACTAATCATGCTTGTATTTCATTCATAAATTTATTTTAAATTCATTTTATACTGATTAAATCAATTTTTTTTAAGAACTGTAATATTACAGTAATGTGGAAATTGAAAAATCATAGTTTCTAAAGAAAGAAATGATTTATGAAACTTTATACATGTAGCAAACTAAAAATAATTTTATAATAACTGAATATGGAAACAAAAATTTAATTTTTCATATTAATTATTATACAAAGTTAACATCATATTCAAAAATATATTTTTACAACAAAAATATGTAATTTCCTGATAAATAAAATAAGGAAAAAATACTGTAAATGTTTATTCTAATATATATAATTTTTAAAATTGCTATATTTATCAGCACTTTCACTTTATAGCAATATAATGTTAAATTAAATATTTAACATTATATATCACTAAATTATACTAAATCATTACTGATTGGCTGGAACGCTTATTGTTTAGAATAATTTAATATAATGTATAATCAATGTGTTTATTTATAGTAAAAATTAAATAACCATAATGGATGAAATGAAATCTGTTTGGAAACATTCCAATTCATAATCAATAACATACATGCTCAATATGCAAATATTGCAGGTTTAAATCTTGTTCTGTACCATTCTTTTTCCAAAATTTCTATACTTAATAAATTAATCTACATTATTTAATTATTAAGATTACCAGTAAGTAGTGCTAGACTACTTTTAGCAACAAAAAGTATCCTAAAATCCTTCTTTAAAGATAATCAAAGATACAGAAAAATCACAACCAACTGATTGAGTTATCAAAATAACAATTACACAACCTTTTCAATCAGCAAATACTTTAATCTACTAAGCAAACGTTTTCAACTGTTTTAAACAACTATCCTCAAAATAATGCTTAATTTGAATGCTCTTTTAAACCAATAGAAAAGAACATAGTACTTTTAAACAAGAGTTCAAATCCAAAAACTTAAAACAAATATCGTAATATGATTGGTTACAAAAACATACATATAATTCTTTACCATAAAAATTAATTCCTCTTATTCTCTGGAAATCTTGTACCACACTTTCTATTCATGAGAATCATATCCTGGTCTTTAAAATTTACTGATGTACTCTTACATGTTAACTTATAAGTTTCTAAGCACTCCAAATGCTTCAGGAAGTAACTGATCTCACCATTGTCTCAATTCACATCTACCCCATTTTCCAACAGATAGCCAGAACAGTAGATAACAAATGTTTTCTCATATTATACTGGTACTATGCAATTCTACATTTGAAAACACTTAGTTGCAATAAAGTGCTTAGTTGCTAATTGAAAATATTGTGTAACTCTTATTTTCATCAAAGATAATTTAACATAATTTATAAAACCTTCAGGAACAGTAATATTTGAAATGAATGCATGTATCCTGTATTCATTTCAAATATAACTATGAGCTGAAGTTGGTCTGAATAAAGGTCAAAAAATGTTTCTCCATTAATTAAACTTTGGTTTCCTTAAATAGCTATATTTTCTTCTTATAACATACAAAACAGTACCAACCAAACAAATTTCCAATAATTTACATAATTTTGCCAAGCTAAATAACAGTATTGTTATTTAGCTTGACAAAATTTGCCTGTAGTTTGGCTAAGTAGGAAAATTGTAGGCAAATGATATTGCATGTTATCAGTCTCAATCTGCAGCTGATAGCATCATTATCAGCTGCAGATTGAGACTGATGTGATCATTATCTATGTAATCATTATCAGTTTTAATCAATGATTGAAATGTTAATCATTTCAATTACTATTTGTTTACAATACAATAGTTTAAATTGCTGGCAAAACACTAGTGTTGAAGTTGATAGCAGACATGGAATACTGTATATATTACATATTAACAACAATAATAATAATTATAATTAACAAATCTTCAGGTTATACATTTTTTAAAATTATTTTAACATGTCTTCTTAATATTAAAGTCAACAAAACCAAATTTTCCTCTAATTGTAGTCTTGTTTATTTATTCTGCTTAATGTTACCAGTTGGTTATTGTTATCAGTTTAGGAAGTCCCAAAGTGATTACAATAAGCTAAATCTACTATATTTAGTTTGCAGTCAGTTTTAGTAATAAAATCTGCAGAGTAAAATTTACAAAAACATTAAGAAAATGTCATAATTGCACTTTGTAAAACTTATTCCAAGAAAAATTTATAGTTTCTTTCAAATCAGTTTCATTATCATTTTGAATATATTAATGTAATGATTAACATTGAGCTAAATAAATTTTCATATTTTTTTCCTCTGTGATTTCATCAGTAATATGAAATAAAAGTCTGTTTATAGCTATTGTGTCTCTTGTTCTGATAAAACAATTATAACATTCATTCAAGAACAAAAGCTGAAAGGATAACAACATTGTACAATTCATTAAATATAATTCATAATTTCATTTCATTCATTTGTTCAATTATGAATTAAACAATTCCTCTGCTTCTTAATAATTTTTAAGATATTTTTAATGTCTTCATTTTAATCATAAATACACGAATAGTTCAAAATAAATAAAACTGGTTCAAAATAAATAAAAGAGATTCAACAGAATTTTTCCATTTCAAAACCTCCAAAGGTCTTAGAATGAACAGTTTGTATAATATAAATAAACTTAAAAATTGATTATGATATATATTTTTATTAACTAATGTTACTAAAACTTGTTTATATCTAGTTCTGAGAGGTAAATAATTTACACATAAAAAATTACAACTTATTGCAAAATACATTATTTACAACAAATTTATAGAAATTTATTTTTTTATTAAATTTAAAAAAAAAAATTAAAAGANATAATGTAAAATAATAATATATTGTCTTAGGTGAATATAAAACATTTCATATTCATATCTAAATGAATTCAAGCTATGTTAGTTAATAACCTTCAAAATTAGCGAACATATATTTTTAAAAATAAGTTTAAATTTTAACTATAAAATATAATTTTAGTAGATTAAATTTTATGAGAATGGTTTTTAATCTTAACTTATTTGTGCTGTTAATGTATGAATATTTTTATTAGTTTATATATTAGATTATTATTACATAATGTAAATGTTCTGTTTGAAATTTTATCTTTGTTGAATTGCAAACATCATGGAAATCTTTTGTGATAAAAAGAAACATCCAAATTAAAATATAGCTAAAAATATACTCACCTTGCGATTGCAGTTCAATTACAACATGCAGTTTTCCGCCAGGTTCTAGGTCAATCTGAATAAAATAAATCAATATAATCAATTTTCAATTACTAATAGGAGAGGGAGAGAGAATTATATTTAGTACAAACAATATATAATAAAAAATTCATTAAAAGTGATATTTGAAAGGATTTTTATAATATGATTACACGTAAATCAGTTATTTCATTATAGAATCAATATATCATTTTATAAAATATTTAAAATTATTAATAACTTACAAATTATTTTGTGTATAATTTAAAAATAACATAATTACACAGATTAAACATTATAAATAATTCATTTAACTGAGATTATGTTAATTAATAAATAAAATGGTCAAGGTGACAATAAAATATAAAAAATATTCACAAAACTGGAATAAACAATGTCTTCAAATTTTGTCCTTTTCAACACCTCAGGAACATGGTAATCTTTACAATGGAATAGACCTTTTATTTTAATGTTATTGTATATTTAGGCAGATGAGTAGCCTCAAATAAAAGTTCAACTCTTCCATAAAGACTTGTGTTCTTGATGTGTTCAAAACTACAAAATTTAAGACAAAACAACTTCCAACTACTTAACACTGCATTGAATAATAACAATCCACGAAACCTTTTTTACAAGTGTTATGTCCTCAGTAAACTCCACAAATGCTTTCGACTTCGGTGGAGGTCGAAAGCGTTTGTGGAGTTTACTGCGGACATAACACTTGTAAAAAAGGTTTCGTGGATTGTTATTATTCAATGCAGTGTTAAGTAGTTGGAAGTTGTTTTGTCTTAAATTTTGTAGTTTTGAACACATCAAGAACACAAGTCTTTATGGAAGAGTTGAACTTTTATTTGAGGCTACTCATCTGCCTAAATATACAATAACATTAAAATAAAAGGTCTATTCCATTGTAAAGATTACCATGTTCCTGAGGTGTTGAAAAGGACAAAATTTGAAGACATTGTTTATTCCAGTTTTGTGAATATTTTTTATATTTTATTGTCACCTTGACCATTTTATTTATTAATTAACATAATCTCAGTTAAATGAATTATTTATAATGTTTAATCTGTGTAATTATGTTATTTTTAAATTATACACAAAATAATTTGTAAGTTATTAATAATTTTAAATATTTTATAAAATGATATATTGATTCTATAATGAAATAACTGATTTACGTGTAATCATATTATAAAAATCCTTTCAAATATCACTTTTAATGAATTTTTTATTATATATTGTTTGTACTAAATATAATTCTCTCTCCCTCTCCTATTAGTAATTGAAAATTGATTATATTGATTTATTTTATTCAGATTGACCTAGAACCTGGCGGAAAACTGCANTATTTCATTATAGAATCAATATATCATTTTATAAAATATTTAAAATTATTAATAACTTACAAATTATTTTGTGTATAATTTAAAAATAACATAATTACACAGATTAAACATTATAAATAATTCATTTAACTGAGATTATGTTAATTAATAAATAAAATGGTCAAGGTGACAATAAAATATAAAAAATATTCACAAAACTGGAATAAACAATGTCTTCAAATTTTGTCCTTTTCAACACCTCAGGAACATGGTAATCTTTACAATGGAATAGACCTTTTATTTTAATGTTATTGTATATTTAGGCAGATGAGTAGCCTCAAATAAAAGTTCAACTCTTCCATAAAGACTTGTGTTCTTGATGTGTTCAAAACTACAAAATTTAAGACAAAACAACTTCCAACTACTTAACACTGCATTGAATAATAACAATCCACGAAACCTTTTTTACAAGTGTTATGTCCTCAGTAAACTCCACAAATGCTTTTGACTTCGGTGGAGGTCGAAAGCGTTTGTGGAGTTTACTGCGGACATAACACTTGTAAAAAAGGTTTCGTGGATTGTTATTCTACAAAATTTGAAGACATTTATTGTTTATTCCAATTATGTGAATATTTTTATATGAAATTATATTCTTTACATGTGTAAAAATTATAACTAAGCAAAATAAACAATGAGATTAAATTACATTGTAAATATTCCTTCTATACATAGTTTTAAAAATTTGTCTTGTTTTGAATAATTTTCCTTAAACACAAAATTATTTTCCAGCTTGAATTTCTTTTTTTGCATATGAAGACATGGCAATGCTGACCAAGATATATAGAAAATTGAGAACCAAGGCAAAACTAGATTTCTTTATGCAATGCTTGGTCAATAACATGTTTCCAATGTCAATTTTTTGGATTTCCTTGCCACCAGAATACGAGTCACTACTGCATAAATTACATATTCTATGTTTAAGGAAAACAATTTGAAACACAAGACAATTGATGTATGCCAAATGATCAAACTGATTCAATTCAAGAATAGTCTATATAAAAAAAACCCTGAATTGTTGATGAAAATTAACTAAAGAGTTATAGACTTAAAGAACAAAGTCTCCACATCATTAAGCAAAATAGTTTTAAAAAATTCTAAATTATTTTGTTTACAAAAATTATATTTATTTATCTTTTTGAATTACAAAATTTAAAAAAATATTAATTCTTTTATTAAAATTAAAAAAATTAATATAATATAATAAACTATATTGATAATATAATAAAATATATTGAATGATGATTATTTATTTTATTAAAATAATATAACATCTTTAATTTTCCAGTATTCATTCTATATTGTAAATTAGTAATGTCAATTCTTGTGAAAGCTCATCCCATCATCAGGTTCAACATATGATTTATATAAATCAACTCTAGAATTAGACTTTCTATCAGAAAATTAAAGGTGTTTATTATTTATTATACAATATTCCAGTTCAAATCTATAATTAATATAATCACTATAGCTAGCAGACAATCCACAGTATCTGCAGAATAAGTCATCAAGTGGGAAAACTTAATTTAGAATTAAAAATTGAAATTTAATGTAAAAAATTACTTGCAGTCTGGACTACATGAAATGTATTCACTCCCAGTGCAAATTACAAAATTTCTTTGTATACAACATTTAAGATGGTAAATCAATATAATCCAACTTTTTATAGCCAAGTCCTACTGGCTAACAAAAAATTCAGTGAACCTAACATTGAATTATTACAAAATCTCAATGATAAGAGCAGAGCAAATACTTCACAAAACTGGATGATGAAACAAACATAACCACAATACCTTTATCTAGTCCAACAACTTTATTCTTCTGTAAAACAAACATTTTCAATCTCCTAAAATCTTCCTTGGATATTATTCAAAAATTGAAAAGTAAAGAATAAATTTATTTTAAAATTTGAAACCTTAATTATAAAGAAGAGAAATGCAAGCATATTCCTTCTTAATTATATATATAGAAATATATGAGCTGTTGATTTTGAAAGTGGGGCAAGTCCATTTTGTGAAGAAAATAGTTAAAGCTAATTCTTATTATAAATTAACATAAAATTTATGTTTTTAATCAATTCACAATAAATATCTTTTAATATCAGTATAAATTTGTTACTAGTAATTTATATCATCAACAATATTTACAGTGAGTTATTTTGAAAGTGAGGCAAGTCCACTCTAAAGAAAAATATGAAGATATGATGGATTTATTACCCTATGTACCACCCATTTATCATGAATACTTTAAAAATCTGCACCATCTAAACTAAGAAATATAATTATATGCATGCAACTTATTACTAAATATTTTTTATCATCACTTTTTCCTACAAAATTAAAATTATTTTTTGTTTCATTGTAGCTTTTCGAAAAAAGTATAAAATGTTCAAATACAATATATAAGTTAAATAAATAACATATTCAATTTTTTGTTATTATAACTATATTCCATTCAAAGAAAAGCAACTTTTCAACAAATCATTGCTTTTGAAAGTGAGACAAGTCCATTGGTGCATATCAAAACTCTGATTTTTTTCCCATAATGCAGATAACCATATTAAATTTACATGAAATAAAAACAAAAAATATAAAATAAGTCTATTATGTTTACAAATATTTTAAAACTCATTCAAATGTAAATCATTAGCTAGATATGATTGCATTTGATGCAATCATATCTAGCAATAACATAAAATGGACTTGCACCACTTTCAAAATCAACAGCTCATTTAATACTTAGCATTAAAAAAATTTTCTTATAGTAGAATCATCATTATAATCTTTATAATTACATTTGTATGAAATGTAATGAAAGCACTGCATTTTGACTTGCTACAGGAGAGACTTATACGACCTCCCAATTCCATCCAAGGCACTGTAGGAATAGAACGAGCGAAGGCACTTGGGAATGTAAAATTATAAGTTTCACCATGCTCCAGAAGATGAATATTACCTAAATGCAATAATTAAACAAACAAAACATAAAAGTTCATATCTATTTCCTTACTAACTTTATATAATTATTAGTAGTATATACGTCATTAATATATTACTATATATTATAACTTTATATAACTTCATTTCATTAACAACTTATAATTTCAGCATAACCTGATCATTGTTAGGCCATGCTGAAATTTTGTTTTATTCATTGAGTTACTCTTTAAAGTATTATTAAATACTTTTCATTTAGAAGACTAATAAAATAGAAAATTGTTACAGAAAAATTTAAATTCTATACACATACAATAGACTCTTGATAGCTCAAATTTTTCTTTGTCCCTTCTAATTCAAGTTAATGAATTTTTAATTTACAGAAATTATCATTATTTCAATGAGATTGCAAGTATCACAATGCAAACAGTATAGTTAGGCTTGAATACATTAAATTTTAATATTTTTCTTAGGTACAAAATAACAAATATTGGCACTATTAGTGAAAGAGTGTTACACAAGTTTTTCATCGAGAATACTTTCAATGCAGTTTCCTCAAAAAGCATTTTGTTTTATGAATAATGGGCTTTCTAGAAAACTATATTTTTGCTGACTTCCCTCAAGTAGGAGAACAGGGTATTTGTCCAGGACAGTATTTATTTCTCTTCATATTCATTGCTTGTTTCTAGCACTTGGTTATTTAATTAAGTAGTGAT